GAGAGCCAAGTGGGTGTGCGATAGACTTACCTCCACGTGGTGCACCCTGGAAATATGCCTTCACTATCAACATCTTATTTGGAAGCGGAGGGGTGTGTGCGATAGACTTACCTCCACGTGGTGCACCCTGGACAGCGTGCGATAGACTTACCTCCACGTGGTGCACCCTGGGCAACTTGCGATAGACTTACCTCCACGTGGTGCACCCTGGACAACGTCTACTCACATGGCAAAAGGTCCATTAAACCTCACCTTTTTTCCACCTTTTCTTCCTTTGTCTTTGAAACACACTTCTGTTCACTTTGACGTTCCTTCCCTCTGTGAAGCCTGAAGTCAACTAAAGGGCTAATGATAACCATCAAAACGCTTGCCGTTTGAAATAAATAAATATTGTCGATAGAAGTAGTCTGTTGCTACATTTCAGTTACATTTTTATATAAACTAGGGACAATAATCATGAATCTATTTGCAAATACAACTTTATGTCTTGCGAAACCATAAGTTGAGCTATTTTTCAAGGGCATAGCTGGATTAGACATTTCCGCAATCTTATTCTCTGATTCAACTACACCTTTAGCATCTCAAGTTTTTCTCTTCACTCACTCTTTAGTCATCTTTTCATCCATTATATGGAAAATGTCTTCGAGCGACATCTTACTTTCACTGTTATTTGGATTCACCACCATCAACAGTCAATTTGTTCCTAGATATAACATGTTCTGACTTTGCCATTGTACACCAGTTGAGGAATTTAGAATTAGTATCTACTCTACGCAGATGACCTGTAAAAATTGCTCGAACTACAGGGCAGCTCTTGATTTGAGTTCCTCCAATAAATTGAGAAACTTCAAATGTCAGTTACTTTCCCTTTGAGCAGCTAAGAACTTTATCCTTGTTTGAAATATATCGGAAAGTAAGTTGTATTTGGCTTCACAGAAAACTTTAAATTCTTCTCCCATTTCAATGCCCACTTATTTGAAATATTGTCCTGTGTTCTTTATGCCTAACCATTCATTAGCCGGTACTAGGCAACCATTCAGTAGCCGTACAACTATGAGAGAAATATTGACCCTTGGTGCCTTTTGATATGAGCAACTCGAGATTGTTTGGTTTCTTTAACCTGAGAAAAACAGTGAGATAAAATAAAAGAGTGGGCGAGCTTCTTAAAATCTCATTGGGCACACCTGTGGTGCTTAGGATTATTCTGACTGGTGACTACACTCCAGTGAAAACGCTGTGGGCAGCTTAGCACGATTGCAACCAATCAGAGTACTGAAAAATAATTTCCTTTGGAGGGGGAACGGAGAGAGTGAATGCATTCTAGTCCGCTTTGTGGAGAAAGGAAGGGGAAACGGCTAAGAAGGAACATGGCTTGAATAGAGTAAATCTAATGAAAGTTAAGCATTATGAAGCTGATTATTAGGGAATTAAAATTGGAGATAGACGATAAATCAGGAAGGATGATACTTCACCAAACACTCTCAGCCCCAAACCGAATTTTGGTTTATGTACTTCCTTGAGGAAAGCCTTTTGGAACATAATTACTGAGCAAACTCCCATTGACATGTTTTTATATTCTTCAATTAGAGACACTTTTGCCCTTTGGCTAAAATGAATGTTGTTGATGAAAATGGCGATTTGTCAGTAAGCATGATATTCCCCCCCCCCCTTCCCCTCAACGAGGCATTCAAAGGGCCAGAAATGATGACCAATCGTTGCCCTGATAATTTTTCCCAAAGGTTAAAGATGACATAGAACAAGACTTAGGGCGAACCAAGCCTCAAACTTGCGATAAAACAATTTTCCAGGATGTTGGATGAGATGAAATAATCTGAACCCAATAGAACTTAAGCCAATAGTTCCTCCAAATGTTCCAAATTGTTAGCTTTAGCCGTGTCTATTCTTGGCGCGATGCTATTGCATTGTGATATTTGTTTCCTCCTTGGGGGCCAATCAATCCAGAGAAGAATGCTTTCAACGCCTTGGGTCCCGTAAACGGAAGTATTATATCTATCTAAAGTTAGAATAAAGCATATGCAACTTGCAGCCCTACTGCTTAGTGCAAATTGATTTGGAGGGAAGTAGAAGACATATCACGCACCATAATTTTTATTCCGACAAATGCAAATAGCCCCTATGCGTTTAAAAGCCTTTCAAGAAGGCTATTTTAATTAAATGTTTGTATTATTATTTCTGTGATCAATAGTGGAAGGACATGGAGGCAGCGTGACACCCCATTTTCCAATCCCTTCTACCTAAGTCATTAGGCTCACCGGTACTCTCTCTCAAGCTCTTGTTCGTTCATCTACATGGACATTACACTCCCTTATTATTGTGAGTTAAGGTAACGTAGAGTAGTTTAGAAGCGTGAAAACAACAATAATAAATGAGTATAGCTGCAAAATTATGATATGAATTGGAAAACATAGACGTCTCATGGACAATTAAGCGTTCTAACATTACCAAGTAGGAATAAAGATGAACAAATAGAATTTTCGTTTACGACTTATGCATTTGGCTCTGGAGAGTCACCCACTTGCGAAGGCTCAATGTTACCAATGTGACTGGATAATGCGTTGCTAAGCGACAGTCCACCATTCAATGTCCCTCTCGACTGCAATGAATGAAATTACAAATAAGTGCAATTCATACGTTTTTAAAATCCAACATGAATTCATTGAAGTGCTCAAAAACGAAGACAACACAAAGCAACTCATAGATTTCTCCTTCACGGAAATGAGATTGGGAACTAAATAATGGGTAAATGAAATAAAGGTGATAATTTATAAATTTGAATGCTATTTAATCCATAAACTACTAACTGGATTTGATCAAATATATCTTGGAGATTTAATCTAGAGGATTTCTCAACAAGCTTATTATCAATATAGTTTCCGATTAGATTTTTCTGAAAAACACAAAGAATTATATTATGCAGTATAATATTTTATATAAAAAAAATTAAATAATAAAATTAATATATACACTTGTTGGAAATAGAGCTTACATAGAGACTATGTATTTCATTTTTCGAAAAATCCATATCATCGGTTTCCCCAAAATAATAGCAGTTTTCTTCCATAAAACTTGCTTGTAAGGCTTTAAACTCATCAGCTACAAATTTTTTAATAAGATTTTTATTACTTATTATGATTTCTTCAAGGTATCCCAAGGAATGATCTAAATCTGATAATGATTGCTCATAACTTTATCTCAAATAATAGGCACATAAAATTACGATATAATATCTTGAAAGTCCATAGTCTCGCTTGAAGTAGAAGGAATATCTAGCAAGGAATCTAAAATATACTTTGCATATACATATAACTTTTACCCCCGGTTTCCATTTGTGCTCTTGAATGTTTGGGCCTAATAACACTTGACCTTAGGCGACTTAAAGGTATTTGATAAATTCCACAAATTTACGTAACTAATTGTTTTAAATTCGCAAATATAATGCTCGAATGCAATATTATGTAAGTAAATTTTTTTTAGAATTTTTCTCTATAATCAAACTTCGCTTTAAAAATTTTATCGTCAATGTGGGCAAATATTATTGTGCTATATATATATATATATATATATATATATATATATATAGATCCCATGATCTCCCTTCATTAATAATTTTTCAAATATCAAATAGGAATTCAATTCAACGCGAAAGATAATTAACAATGTTAATATCTATGCTTTGAAATATTTTAATACCAAGTTGTAAAAATATCGTTGAAATCACATCATATTAATTTTGACCATTTTTGTTATATTGTTGCAAATATGCGATATTTTCTTCCTCAAAACAAAATTGAATACTGTTCTCCGTACCTTGTGAAATGTTGAATCATTGAAACTTAAACTGCAGACATGTTACATTTGATCACAATGAAAAAATAACATTATTACTATTCTCGAAGATACAAAACAGAATGATGGTGTAAATTACAAATTTTAGTTCATCAGAATGCTTGCTATCAATTCATGACAGATAGATTGCAAGACCCGTAATTTATTTATAGATTACCACTCTGATTATATGCATGAATACACTGTTGACAAAGTTACAATCTTTCCGCATGATGAAGCCTGCAAAATTTTCCTCTAGCGATTCAAATTCCTTGATGGCAACTCCTTCAAACACTTTGCAAATGAACAAATTTTCAATTATTGGTTTTATTGACACTAAACGAATTCTTTTTCTATTACTATCACTATAATTAAACAGTTCTGGTATTCACTTGAAAAAGTTCTTTAACATATTTGACGTATTCATTCCTCAAAATTTCTTTCAATTCGAATTTTTCATCGACGTTCAATGATGACGCGTTTGAGGAGCACTATTTTGCCAAATATTTTAAAATTAGAACCTGAAATAGGAACTTCGGGACAACAGAAAAGCTAAAAAGGATATAGCACCTTCATAATTGGCTGTAGTTGTTTCTGCAGATAATGACTGACAAAATATAAAGTTAAACGAAGAAGCCTTGAGGGATTCACAAACTCTTCATTGAAAGCCTTTCTCATCCGCACTAAATGTCTAATGGTAGAGAATACAGGCTAACGACAAATTTGGATTTTCTTGAGGCATGTTCAGAACGATTAATCTCTTCATTACTTCATCACTGATAGCTCCATGACCTTCTTTCGGTATCAAAATTTAAAACTTTAACACTGACACTAAAGATTACAAAACTGTGTAGACTGAGCAAATAGATCTCATGCTCTCCAGTAGATTTGATGGTGCACCGTTCAACTTATCACATAGGAAGGGACCTCTCAACCAGCCACTATTTGTTCTGTTAGCAGTCGATTAAGAAGAATTCTAGGTCATCATTTTTAGCGATCTGATAAATGACATCTAAATCAATAGGTAACGGTTGTGTACTTGAGGCATTAGATAATAAATGATCTTTTAAGATAATAATGGATGTAAATTTGGAGTAGGCAAATTTAACGAGTATTGTTGATTATGAAAATATATAATAAGCAAACAGAAGGTTTTAGAAGGAACACCTGCGAGCTTCAAAAACATCCAAAGTAGCAAACAAGATTTTGGTGCATGCATGCCTCCTCTTCGGTAACATATCGCCAAACGTCATTCTGTCCAATCCTAACAATGGGAGATTTAATTTATTCATAATTATCGCAAGAAATGTGTTGTCGGAAACAATGGGTTTGGTAAAATACATTCCTATAGCTATATCTTCAACGACTGAGTATCCAAACAAGTTATAGCTACCAAGATACTCAGGCATATTCGTCGGCCAAGGAATCTCTTTCTTTGAAAAGGTCCATTGGAGATTGACGGGATTTGATGGTCTGAAGACCACATTCTCAGGCCGCTCAAAACCATTGTTGAGCCTATGAAGTTCTATTGGTGTTAGACCTTTCAAGTAGTCTACAAGTTTTTTAGGATTCACAGCATAATCGTCCTCCATGAAAATGAAAATGGGATTATAACGACGGCAAAATTGGGCAGCCCAATGGTATGAGTGGAAGAGTTTTAAGGTCAAGTTAAAGTAGGTATCCTCATAATCACCAATTAGTAGATCATGATGTTCTTTCATCTCCTGCTTCAGCGTGTCAAAGGTTTCCTGGGGTGATTGAATATGCTCCAACATCTTTTTTCCAGCTCTTCCAGTTAATGTAACATTGAAACCATCGCGTTGAAAAACATTACTTTCCATCGTAGTTGGCATACCAATTGAGAAGACTAAATCAATTTTCAAATCATATCTGTCAAGGTGGTAGAATTTTCTTATTCGATTTCGCGACTCAAAATTATAAACCGCTGATTTGTAGATGATAACAACATCGTGGTGTGGTACATTCGTTATGCCTATTTCAGAATATTCAATCTCCACGGGTGGACAAACTTTAGATGGAACTTGAAGAAATCGTATCGTCGGGTTGTTGATTGGAGGCTAGAAAGTAATAAGGCGGAAATAGAAAGAATTGTCCTACCTTCTTCAACGATTTATTTAGTTTAATTAATAAAGTGGTTTCATTTAACGGAATGGTTTGTGGATAAAGCTTGTATACGGAGGTATCAAAGTCTGGAAGCCATTCATTATCGGGTATTTTAGACAATTCCTCGAAAGTCAACATTTTGTTGCTGCCATTTATTCGAATTTTCGACTCCTGGATTGTTGTAAGCTCAGTCTCTTCCAGCCCATTTTCAATATCTCTGACATTATAACATAGAATGAACTCGTAAATGCCGCTGGTATTCCCAGTTATCACCTTATTCCAGTCACAATTAACTTTAGATCTCCATAGTGCATAAGGGGAATTTGGATTTACAGGGTAGGGCTTCAGTAAGAGAAGCATTAGGAAGCAGGTAGCAAGGACGAGGATTGTGACAATCAAGAGCACTCGACGTCTGCCCACTCGTATAAACATAGTTTAAATGGGAATCTGTTAGCAGCTGAACAGCTATATCGTGTGTTGAAAAGTGATCAATTAAGGGCAGATGCTTTTTCGACATGAATCGAATGCAGAACTGTACTGCTTGAATAGCTGCGTACTGTGCCTTAAATTGAACTGAATACAAAACAACATTCATGATGCGAAATATCAATTAGTAAACTCGTGACTCATCATTGTTACTTGTGATTTGAACCTCTAATTAAAACAATTGCATGTGGATAATATTTTGCATTCATGGGGGAGATGTGATTAATCAATTCACATGATGAATTAGGCTCACTTTCGATCTCCCTTCAAATACAACAAATTTCGAATTCCAATTCAATGTCAACCTTGCATTCATTGCCCTTATCCCCCCCCCCTCAAAACACTCTCCCTCATGTCATGACAGTTCTCTAAAATTGGGAAAAAATCCAATCACGATATCCGCTGAGTGTTTAAATCATTAAACACAAAGATTTCGAACATTCGAAGCATAGTGTTTCATTTGTACTTCATGACTTACGCTTTGTTCTGCTTCCCTGTTTCTCTGTCCAACTACATTTATCGAAATTCTCCACTAAATCCGAGCGCCAGCTTCAATGGTCTATAAAAATTTCTATAATAAATACTTACTACGTCAATGCTCCCTACCAATAATCAACACCACCACTCCATTGTGAACAATAGGAGATAGGAAAAAACTATGAGCTATTCAAAGACAAATCCTCTCAATCCTTCACCTTTATTGATTTCGAATTCTTCAAAACTATAAAGCATCAATGAATTTATAGGATATCTTTGCACAATATGCCTAATTTTATTTTCGCCTTATAACAGCACATGTTGGTAGCCGGTTGTTAACTTGAAGCTCCTGTTCATGTTAAATAGTGCTATTTTACTTCTACTCAGTTTAAATGGAATTTGCCTCGAGACTGAAAGGAATGATGCCTTTGAAATGCCCATTCAGAAAACCGTATAAAACTTTCACTAAATTCAAGGATAAAACACACTCCATTGCTCATATTTCACATTAAAAATATCACACATTTCAATTCATATAACCTGTCATGCTCGTTGAAAGTAAAGTTTATCCTTGCAATAATTTTAATCATAGGAGATCAAAGCGCCAGAAGAGGCATACATGCGAAATCGGTAAATTCTAGCTTTAACCATCTAAATGCCTATAACAGAAGGGAAATTAGAGCAATCCAACTGCACTATCCTTGAAGTTGCCGAATTCCTTGAGATCAAACAGACCTCCGGTTACGAATTTCAGTCAATTTATCTTAAAACGGGGGGTGTGTGATAGACTTACCTCCACATGGTGCACCCTGGGCAATGTATACTCATACGGCAAAAAAGTCTATTAATCGGCAGTTGACTTCCGACTTCAAAACACCATCACCTCACTGTATGTCATATTCGACTACTTCCACATTACTCACCTCACCTTTCTCCTATCTTTGTGTCTGCCTCTTTTACATATTTGAATCACTCTTCTGTTTCCTCCCCCTCTCGACTTTTTCACTTTGATGTTCCTTCTTCTCTGTGGAGCCTGAAGTCAACTAAAGGGCTCATGATAACTGTCAAAATGCCTGCCATTTGATACAAATAAATAAATCTTAAAACGAACCACAAATAGAAATGAACTACGCAGTTAACCTGAAGCTGTAAAGGATAATGGGGTACACATCGTAACCCGAGCCCTGAGCTATTTTTTATTATCAAGAATGACATGGCTGAACTTTATTAACCACAACCTCTCCCCCATTTAATATTTATTTATATCAAATGGCAGGCGTTTTGATAGTTTTCATTAGCCTTTTAGTTGATTTCAAGCTTACCAGAGAGAAGGAGGAACATCAAAGTGACCAAAAGTCGAGAGGGGGTGACAGAAGAGTGATTCACAGATGCAAAAGAGACAAACAGACACAAAGGCATAGAAAAGGTAAGATGAGTACTGTGAAAGGGGTCGAATATGACAAGGTAAGATGAGTACTGTGAAAGGGGTCGAATATGACAAATAGTCGGGTCATAGTAGATTAAAGTCAGAAGTCAACTGCCGATAAGTAGACTTTTTTGTCATATAAGTATGCATTGCCCAGGGTGCACCACGTGGAGGGAAATCTATTGCCTCCTCCCCCCAAATTTAATATTTAAAGCTTGTAATTCGTAACTGTAACGAGAAAATTGACTAATTGACTTTGTTTCTTATATGGACTGATTATCTGGCCACCCAGTGTAAATTGCGGGTTAATCAGTTGGTTTGAAGTGGATATAAATTAAGGTTTATATCGATTAATTTGTTGATTATAAGCTGGGCCAACTTGGGTGTACACCTTCCTTCAAAATTAGATGAATGCGAATTGGCTTATAAAGTGAAGGTTTGTAAAATGAAGGCAAATACGAGGGTTTGAGCTCCTGAAAAGCAAATACCTAGTGTAACTTCCACCCAGGAGATTTAAATGTTGCAAGAACCACCCCCCCCC